GTTCAACCTCACCCTGCAAAAATTACTCGTTCGGCGAACTACAATGAAACAGTATGTATGAGCAGCTGCTTACCTTCGTTCTTGGGTACAAAAACCAAGAGTTTTCATTCGATCCCATTGAAGTAACCAATATGAATTCCTTTACACCTAGTAGAGAACATGTCGAAAAGGATCACACGGAAATGCGTTGCCCAGTAATGATAGTAATATTAGTAATAGTAGTTTATCAATATTTTATTTAAAGAAAGAGGACTACTGAGGCAACTGCACTCACCTTGCTCCTTGGCAACCTTTGCAGTGTTCAGAACATAATCATGATCCACTTTATAAAATCCCTCCTGAAAAGACAATCTTCATTGATCAAGTTATAAGTATAAGGAAGTTGTTTGACGTATCTTTAGACGCTGTGTCGGTTATGTGTCGAAAGTGGTGTAGCTGGCACCACGCGAGCGGTCCGGGGATCAAATCCTGGGTCGTGAGTCGCCCGGGCCAACCAAGCCTTCCATCCCTCCGGGGTCGGTTAATTGGTACCAGACTTGTCTGGGAGGATAAAAACACTGACTTGTACATCGGCTGGCCCCCGCAAGTCATTGTATAGGCCACATCGCATTCAAACGCCACTACGAATGTACAAATGGAAGTAGAATGCGTGCCGCATCCCAAAAAGGGATTGATCAACGGCAAATGCTTTATCCTTTTTATCCTTTAAAACGAAAACTTTAAAAATACATAGGGAAACTGAGACGCTGTCATGTAATGAAGCGACACATTACTAAATCTACGTAAAGATATCTGGCAATATCTATTGATCTATTGAATTCCCATATAGAAGAGGAGCCACAGCTGATCTTACCAGTTCTGAGCACCTACAACCAGCAGGGAGGCTTATTTTCTATTCGCCATCCACATTATTTTGTGATTCTTGCAGTGAATGAAACCAAAGTGAAAAGCGATGATCACGACAACACGGAAAGGTATAGTGAGGTATAGAAAATGAGATCAATTGTCAGATGCTATGAAAATTCAACTCATAACTTTCTTTCTTTATTAGCTACTCGATATTTACTCCTCACTGGACACATCACCTTTTAGGCACAAACCGTTCAAAAAATCCTTTACTGGTAAAAAAAAATGAAAATTCAGTAGCAGTTGGTGTAAAATAACGAAACAACCTTCTATGGAAAACAGTTCTAGCCTTCTAGCCGAAAGAACAGTTCTACTTGCTACAGAGTGATTGTCGAAATAAAGAGCTCCATTTTGAAGAGAAAACAGCCCCACTTGAAACAAGGTTACGAATTGATTCTCATTGGTTTTGAAGGCCATCATTTGAGGAAAATACCTCGTAATGAAGAGAAATTTTTTAGAGAGGTACAGACCGGGAAACCCACCTTTCCTGCTTTGCCGCGAGTCGTTCCAAGAGCGCAAAATCCAACATCGATATCTTTGAAAAGGTCGGCATGCTTTTCAATAGTGTCGAAATCAATAACTGCTTGCTCCTGAAATGAACCGATAGTTGATATTCTTTCGCATAAGCACGATAGTTGATGGTGCTTTCGCATAAGCAGTAACCGATAGATAATGCAGATGCAACAAAACTTAGCAGTGTTAAAGGCTCCAGTATTTTGACGAAAGACGGATCCATTTGCAATTGAATTAACCTTTACTGACGAGCCGCGAAAAGGTTGGGCCGGCCGATAGGCGAGGGAAACAAGCGACCACACCCTCTTTCGGCAGAGAGATAAGAGGCGCGAGGCAGACCACACACAAAGAGGACGACGCAGCCGTTGTCAAACTTGTAGGGTGTGGTCTGGTCGATCGCTCTCCTGTCTTCCAAAGAGATGGTGATTCAGGCACAGGCAACATACATGAACCATCCGTATGCGGTTTGCTGCTGAAAGGTGTTCCCAGTACTACGTCATGAATAATCCCTAGCCGCTTGCCAACGAACTCGGCACAACCTCGCCGAGTTCGTTGGAGAGCGTGCTCGTGGTTTATAACGTACTTACACGCTGATCTATTTTACCCGCAAACTACGACATTCAACCAACCATGAACTGTGTCCTCCAACGATTCAGCCCTATTAATCATCCAGGGTCTATTCCAGTTAGGGGGGACATCATGATGCAGTTTTTCCAGAAAGCTAGGGTAACTCCGAGCCAGGGGAGTGTAGCCAGTCTAGGGGGGTGGGGGGTGAGGGCAGTCACTTGACATGCGTGAAAAGCTGGAATGTTCGAGTTCACACTAGTTCGCCGAGAAGCTGCATCATGATGCCCCCTAACTGGAATAGACCATCATCCATTTCTATGGTAACGCTTAGCAAAACCCGTGGATGCTTCACCTCTAAATTTCAGAAGAACTAATAGAGCACCCCATGTGCGCTTGTGGTAAGCTTACATACCAGATTTCGATAAATGCTGAATTAGCCAATACCGTTATGAGCATAATAACTGAAAGAACACATGAAGGGGTTACATTGCATTGTAGACACTAAGGAAAAAAAACCATCCCCATATGTATCAAAGAAAAAGGCGATAATTTGTGATCAGCTGCAACGATATCTGCTTTTTTGGGAGTCCATTGAAAAAGCTCTAAAAATATTGAGATTGAGAGACTTACCACATTCTCATGGCTCAAAGGAATCTCCCTCCTCCCGACAACGAGAACTTTTTTGAACTGGTGTGATGAAACCAATGCATCGACTAACTGCTTCCCCACAGCACCTGATGCGCCCACGACGAAGGCGCTTCTCAACATCACTGAAATTTGGTGTGCTGAAAGACTGCATAGGAATTGAACGAAAACAAGAAAGACAAGAGGAGATCGAAAAAGAATCTGCAACCACTTTTTTTTTAAAAGAACACCGTGGTGGAGTGTGTGTAATTGCGTACAAAAGCGGACACAGTAACCTCACGCATGGATTTACTGTACATTCTCGTCGTCAAGTAGGTCCACGAACTTGACGTGGTGGTATATTTTCGCTGAAATCAGCAAATTATGCGGGAAACAGACTATCCACTTAATTCTATCGGGTGAGTGCGGTTGACCGCCAGTGCAAGTCCGTTAGCCCCGCGGCGTCGCAATTGGAACTCGCATTTGAAAACTGCTTCGAATGAGCTTTCTGCGCTCTCTGCTGACAGGGTTATGGTTACTGTGATCTAATGCATCCAAATTTTGCCACAATATGATTGAATCACCCACTCCGGGGTCCCTCTCTCCAAGGGCTAGTCCTAGGGCTCATACATAGATGTCGGTCAGACTCTGCGATTGCATCGCGCGATGCAATCGCAGTAGGTGAGCGAATCCTATGTTGGATTTGGGCTGAGCCAGGCGCGGTCCCTAATAGTGTGTGTCTGGCTTTTTGCGGCAGAGAACGAGGAACGGTTCAAGTAGTCACGTAATCATCAGAGCGAGTGGCGGTCGTATCTATCTTCCCATTCACGCCCTCCTTGGCTTTGCTGAGGGTCCGCTGTCTGGTATCCAGAAACGCAGAGTATGGCTGGTCTATGACGCAACCGCGCCTTCTCCAAGCTTAGGATAGAATCAGCGGCGGAGTGCGTCCGCCCTGCGTGAGGACAGGATGCGGCCCCATGGGCCGTACGTGTCTTCATTGAAAGTAAGGTTCATAATGAAATACGGTTACTAATTCACTCGAAAATGAAGATATGGGTGCGAAGTGGAACGCAAGTAGAGAAAAGCTATGCAATTGTGAAAGACACAGAAAATACGGAACTCTTTGTTATACGTTGCAGGAGAAACGATAAGAGGCAGACAGCAAGATAAGAAATGGTGTAAGTTACGGAAAGGGCAAAGAACTCCGAGTCGTGAGGGCACTACAACACAGTTGAAATATCGAATGGTTTGCGGGCACGGAGCTTCTTAGGTGTAGGAAGATCCAAGTCCTAACTCCCAGCACTTTACTAGTTGTGTGTTCAGAAGGCGTCAAAGTGGCATGACCATTTTGTGCACCTCGCACATTTCTCCACAGAAGGGACATTTTAGGGAGCTGAGCATGAATGATCTAGATGCGCGAGTTTCCTCAGCAAACACATGATCGAATCACACGAAGACGAATAGTTTTATTAAAAATATTGAGAGGTTATGATGAGATCAATCCAGGTGTAAGTTGAGGGAAAGTAGTGTCCGCGTCGACTACGGATATGGCCGGCAGCGTGACGGGAACATGGTGGGCCTATGGGCGGCAAGCGAGGACGTACGGGTTGCGAAGGCGTCGGCTCGAGAGCGGTCATGAAGTATCCTCTGATGGCAGCCTCAGGTAAATAGCGTAAGATGAGTCAGCGCTAGTGTCCTGGCATTCCCACCCCACAAGCTGATGTCATTGCTTAGTTAACCTCAGCCGACGGATGAGTCCTTGCGGGAAAAGGACTAAATAGCTAGAGCACTTCCTTCCTCATTACTTCTCCTGATTGATACCCAATTAAGATCACAATCAGACCTAAATCTTTTACACCTCTCCGCATTACAAAAAGTCCGTCCTCGTACTTGCGATATGGTTGGAGTGAAAGAAGGCAAAGGACCACTTGGATGGAGTGGGAATGAAAAGGAACGCGTTCATTCGAGGAGTTCGGGCAGAGTCGTTGCGGTTAAGACGGCATTGAAATCGAAGGCTCACTGCAGGATCGTCTTCCAGCAGGCGAAGCCGACCAGAGATTGTTCGTGACCTAAACCAGTTGGCCGTGTCGGCAACGCGATGTTTAAGCGATGGAGTTCGTTTAGAAACTCGCCCGCTCAGCATCAAATCATGTAGTAATGAGGAGGATAAAGGATAAAGGATAAAGCATTTGCCGTTGATCAATCCCTTTTTGGGATGCGGCACGCATTCTACTTCCATTTGTACATTCGTAGTGGCGTTTGAATGCGATGTGGCCTATACAATGACTTGCGGGGCCAGCCGATGTACAAGTCAGTGTTTTTTATCCTCCCAGACAAGTCTGGTACCAATTAACCGACCCCGGAGGGATGGAAGGCTTGGTTGGCCCGGGCGACTCACACCCAGGATTTGATCTCCGGACCGCGTACTTGTAAGCGT